CAATTTTATCGACACTTTCAAAGGATATTCCATACATTTAATTATGGACGGCATAAACCCTTGAGCGGAGACCTCATGAGACGTTTGATCTCACATTCAGTTTAAGGCGTAGGTACGTAAATGCCAAATTACCAGTATTATATAAGAGTATAAAGAAATATTGATTAGACATTGAATTGTTGATGGGCAAGGCACAATTTGCCTCTGCGTTTTAAAATGTACGGCAGGAGTTAAGACGTGTAAATTAGCTATTTTCACGATAAAACTATCCGAAATTGTACGGAAGATTATTAGGAAAAGTGTGAAATTACCGATAGGTGTAACATTAGAGGCATTGGGTCGGAAGCATCAGAATGAGACGATGAAAAATACTTATTGTGCTATTATACAGATAATGAATAACTGAAACTTTGTTCGCGATATTTACATGGTAGGAAAATAAACGGCATTTTAACCCACTGATTCACTCAAACACAAACTGCGTTCGTTGAAAAAAGTCTGTTCCGTCCATCAGGGCAAGGACGAATTCACGTTTCTATAGCATTGACTATTTAGCAGGCACCATGTAGTTCGCCTGTCATCTGGAAATTAACAGACAAGAATTCAGATAATGTGAATGAATCTATGGGAATAATTTAATCCAGAATTAAATCAGAGGACATAAGTGTTAAGCTAAAGTCATAAGTTGGTGTGACATTATTAGCGATTAAATGCATTAAGGTGGAACACTAGGAAGAAAGGTTGAAAAGTACAAAGGAGGAATCTAAAACGATTAGTCACTTTTGTAAATTTGAATAGCATCATTAGGAGACGGAGATTATCTGAAAAATGTGATGTATTTATGCTATACATTTCGAACGATCTGATCACACATTTACTTGTCAAGTCGATATATATATATATATATAAGTTAAACTAAACAAAGTGACAAAAAATATTTAAGAATGGTTAACACAACGTTTGGTAATACAATCAAATAAGGATTAACAAGGTAGGTTAAGAGTAATTAAAAACTGTTTCTAAATACACAGGGCAGGCTTAAGTTTATGAATATCTATAGCCTCAGTGTATTTCAATAAGCGCCGTTGATCGTTTTTATAGATGACCTTAAAGGCTGAGTTATCATCAATCTTATGGCTCATCTCGATTAGATGTTTAGCTATAGACGACGTTGGTAGTCTAATACCTGCATGTATTGGTTTTTCACAATTCATTGGTTTTTCCAACCATTTTGCGATATGCTCTCTCACCCTCACATGCAAAGTGCGATAACTCCTCCCTGTGTATGTGTGCCCGCACACACACGAGAATTGGTGAATAGTGTGGGGTGTGGTGTGTGTATGCACTTTTGAGGTATGCAGTGGTACATATTTGTGGCTTTTTCGATAATTACAAGCTAGGATGCATAGTAGATTCTACGGATGGTCGAAATTAATCTTTGTCTCAAAATCTAACTGCTTATTTTGCATTTTTATCAAAGCCGGTATATATTGTAGGTTTAAAGACCAATTGAATTTTACACCTTTTTAAACATTTTAGAGGATATCCGTTTTCAACAAGAGTATCCCTCAATATTTCATTTTCTTTGTTTATAACTTTACCTTCAGTTTTTCGAGTACATATGCTGACTGTGATTTCATCTTGTGAACAGTATTTGAGAGCATAGGATTATTAGCTGAATCCAGGAATTCAAAAAATGAGAGTTTAACTGTAAGAAATTTGTATTTTATTCAGTCAATGAGGTAAAAACTGTCCGAATGCAAATGATCCTACCTAATCCCACTTCAGACCCTATTTGGTATATTAATAAACCTTACAGATTTGTAGGTGGATCAAGGTTTTAGAATGAATACTAATCATGACATTCAGACGACTTCTTCATAATATCAAAGGCTTCCAACTGAGTCAAAGTGGGTTCCAGAGTACTTGATACCTTCTCTCTGTACATTTTACCACCGACTGGAGGTTGAACATCTACTGTAAATCTCCACGTTAGCTCCTCAGCATACTCAAAAGGCGTTCAAAAGTTTGAGTTATTAGGATCAGTATATCCACATAAATTGCACAGTATTTCTGTAAGAATTCGAAACCTTGATTGAGTGTAATTCAGTATTAGATCAGTGTAATTTATTTGATACACATGGAAGTTTTATTAATTAAGAAATAACTAAAGGGATGAAAGTTTAACTGCAATTTATTGATAATAATCACATCAATAAAACACCATTTCTCTAGGAAGAATACCTATGGAAAAAGAAAAGAAGAAAACATATATTGAGGCCATAGTTGTGCCACTTTCGTTTATCTCATTCATTAAATTCAGAAATTCCCCATCATCTTCCTGAGGAGCTTCAAAACGGCTCTTAGTTATGGATCTGTAAAGTGACGTAGTCACATCGAGAAGTGGATGTATTAGTGATATATATCCATATAATACGTGTGTTTGTTTGACAGTCTGTTATATTTTGCTACGTTTATATGGATCGATATTCCATTATAATTAACAATCATGTTAAGGTTGTCTATTGATTCGTTCATTTTGAACATTCGCTCATACACTTGTGTTCACACACTTGTTCAGACATTCATACTTTTTCACTCACACATTTGTGTGACATTGATTTTTCCTTGTGTTTGAAAAATACAAGTATCATCGTGAACCTGGTGGTCTTCTGATTTCGGCCTTCTTCCCTCAGGACTATTAATTACTCAATCAGTACATAACAATTAGAAACCCTCCTCTGGGCATTTTAGACTATCGGTGAAAATTTGAGAAGTTTCAAATTTTTAGATATTTAAAGGCTTGCTGTTTTTCTTTATGTAAATTGTTTTTCTTCTCCTCGAGAAGATTCATGTGAACTTGTCATCATTGACATTTGTAAATCTTAAATTTTTCAACGAATTAGACATAAAACTTATGTTTAAACATGTACTAAAGTGCAGGTTTTCCTTTTCGTATTTATTGGTGAAATATGCATGCCGAAGTATCAAAACATTCTACAATAACTGTGATTATTATCATCATAATTTTTTGTGCAGTTTAACTTTGAAGTACCTTAAGGTAAAACCCTCGAAATTGACTTCTGTTATAGACCAGAGTGTCATCTTAACTCTTTTATTCTTCCGCCTTATTATTATAAACCATTTTATGGCTTAAAATATTCACCTGAACAAAGTACACCACACGTTTTAAATTACACAAAACGAATAACTGTCTACAAATCTCTATAAAAGGATTGAATTGAGTAACTGAGTTAATTTTAACTACATAGTTGGTGACATGTAAGTTATCCGAATATTTTCACTGAACATTTTACTGCATATTGACGACACAATTTTGAATGAACTGAAAACACTCAGAAGATTACCCCAGAACGACTAATTAGACAAATAATCTCGGTTATGTAGACGCGCGCATACACACCCAACGTAGAATTTTCGTAAATTTCATCAATCAGTCAATTGTGAAACTTTGTTTCATTACTTTCTCATACTCTGATCTTAGATGACACTAAGATGAACGCATCGGTCAAAATATATTGTAATAATCCAAAGTTTTCAATCTTGATCTCAGTCAAATAATAGTCATTTACTTTGTGGTATCAAATTCTTTTGTCTTAATGTGATTCCGTTTCATTGACATGGCTAGATAGTTGAGGGAAATTGAGATCAATCCTAGCCATTGGAATGTATACACTTTATTGCTGGCTATGATGATAGGACTGCTGATTACTAATCAGCAGTTAGAATTTCATCCCTGTATGACAGTCATTATCTTTACACACAAGCACATAATGTCCCACTCAAACACAAATAAATTCGACTAAATGCTACTTTAAACTGTGGCCATTATTGCTGTTTACTTATGGTGTAGGCGTGACATCCGGTTATCAACCAAGGGACGTGTTTACTACTCATCAGTTCGCTCCGTCCTTCTCTATGGCTCTGAAACATGGCCAATACGCGTTGAAGACATGAAAAGGTTGACTGCTTTCGATCATAGATGTCTGCGATCTCTGTCTCACGTTAGGTGGTATAATAAGGTAAGTAATGTTGACGTTAGGCGTAGAGTGTTGGGCAAAGAGGGAAAATCAATCGACGAGGCTATAAAGTTACATAGACTAAGATGGCTAGGTCACGGGCTGCGCATGCCTAACCATCGCCTCTCCTGACGGGCATTACTAACTGATATAGGTGGTGCAGGTTGGAAAAGAGTAAGTGGTGGCCAAACAAAAACATGGCCTCATCAATCCATGAAATCCTTGACAGTTAAACTGAGTCAGTCAGGTAGGGAGATGCAGACTCCCGGGTTGGGGGCCTCGGGACTCTAGGAATCAATGGCTGGAGACAATAGGTGACATGGCTCAAAATCGTTGTCAATGGCCAGCGCAGATGTATTCAGTCTCTGTAATCTTTCATATTCCTTTCTACCATTACCCATTCTGTTTCTCTCTTATACTTGTCAGACTGTAATGATTCTCTTCACTCATCTTCTTGTCTACCTCTGTGTGCTATTTGGAAGGTGGCAACTCGAACTGCTGCACTTCGGTGCCTAGTTCTATGTTGAATCCAGAAAGACAGACAGTTTACTTATAGCAAAGATCAAGTAAATATAGTGATTGACAGCTGAAATGAGTGCGAGATCTTGAAAACTTCGTCAGACTGTAGAAACAGGAATTAGCCATCAAATATGTGTAGCCTAAAAGGTTGTCTCGTTCCTCTGACACTAACGAAATTTGAACTGTCCACTGAATATAACTCCCTGTAAAAAAAGTAAATATTAAGTTCCATAATTTTTCAGGCGAAGGACATTACAGTAAAGTTTAAATTTAAGACTTTATTAATTAGAAAAAAATTTGATATTGAGGAAACTGTCACATTAATCATCTTTTACTGTTCATCGTCGAGTGTGAGAAACGCCTTCAATAATTGTATTCAGACAAATTACGCAAAGCATGGAAAACTCTTTCAACAAGGAAACAATAATTGATACGACTTCCATGAGTTTGAGTTTGAGACCGAGGGAAGGCACATTCAAAGAATACATCACATGGGTAAGGAAACTCTTTTTATTTATTTACACAAAAATCAACATTTAGGTCGGAATTGATGTGACATATTTGATAATAATCATGTTGGCAGTCATGATTATAATAAGCAACATGTAAGATTGAAATTATTCATCCAATATGATCCCCATAAAGAAGTATTCTTCAAGAGTATTTCTGTAAAAATATCGTAGTCATATTGGGAATTGTGTAAGTCAGTCGTTCCAATTTGTCACTGTTTCTTTTAAAGCATATTGGGGTTGGTGATTATTTTTCTGTTTATAAATTCTGATGATTGTACTTTGAAAGTGTATGAATTATACCCAACATTTTTTCATTTAGCTTGTTTGCTGCCGCTCTGTTTGTCTTCACGTTTGGGCTCAAGATAATTCAGGAAAACTTTTGGTATTCACATATTGACTATGGACTAATCGTAAGTATTCTTTTTGGTTGTAGAATGCTGATATGAATAATACTTGCAATTATTGTGTGTATTACACCATGTATGTATAAATGTTCACATAGGAAAGATGCGTTTAAACATGTTTATGTATGACTTGACCATTACGTTTTCAAAATTTATCATAGATATACAATATCGAAGGCTTTCCTTGACATTTTTGCGGGGTTACACAGATAAACTCAGTTAAAAATTATTCCTTGTTACATGTCTGGTATGTAGTTATGACAATGATATAATAACATATGCAACTGAGAATGAAATGATTAGTCAGAATAATGTGATCAATAGTCATCCTCATATAACGACATTATTTAGAAGTTGTTTTCACATCATCGAGGTGGTAATGAAGAAAAAAGTGCCCCGGCTATCTCTCTCCTATCTTCCAAAATTTGTGATATGTATGTGAAACATGTAACTTTATCTGAGAAAACATGTTCTGCCAGTGACTGACACTGGTAGACTACATTCAACAGGTCACAGTTTTGTCTTCAATAATGTTTAATCAATGTAAAAGTGATCAGTGGCTGTCATCTACCTCACAATATTTTTTCACGAATTCAGACTGATTCAGACTGACGCTGGAGTGCATTTTATCGATGTTATTTAACAAGTTTTCTTTTACTTTATTCTCTGAAAAAACGAAACAGTGAAACGTATTTAAGACTTTCATCTGTAGAAAAGCTAATGTCTCTAGGTGAGATCGTAATTAAATATCATGTACTGCGTGTATGGCAGCTAAGGAGAACTTGATAGTCTGATTTAGTACTCTGCAATAATACACACTTTGGGCCTCCCCGAAATCAAACGAAGGCGTTTACCGTTGCTTCAAGTGAACAGAGTAAACCAACCAACCAAGCTCAGACACTGTCGCTTTGTTATCGGTGTGCGTAGTGTGACTGCTGAAAAATGACATGAGATCTTATTCATCCAGTCACTAGATAGTGTGAGGAAGATGTGTATATAGCGCGTTGACAAGATGGATGAAACTAATATTTTATCCACACATTAAGTTTTGGGAAATAAATCAATAATATCTTAAACAAGAAAAGCAACACGAAGGAATTATTGCCGTCATACGCTTCACGTTTATCGAAGGAACGACAGAAACTGATCTCAAAAAGGACAACTGTTATACAAATAACTAAAATCATGCAATATACCTGGGATATATGCCAAGAAAAAACGGCACAAAGAAGGACATTTAATAAGACCGATTGTAGACTTTAGAAACGCCCTAACGCCCAGATTTCTCTGAGCAATACTTAGACTGATAGAAGACAACTCAAAATCTAGAATAGCAGATGTATTTGAATTAGTGAGACGACTAAACCCATTAAGATATAAGCAGAGGAAATACTAGTCAGCTTTGATGTGAACAGTGTCTGTACGAGAAAAAACCCATTGACAAAAGGCTATGATTGCACTGGATACGAGATTTAAAGAAGATAATGGCTTGGAGAAGGAACCCAGTTATCCGTGGAAGAGACAATAAAAGCGTGAAAATCTGTCTGACAATAATATATTTTCCATTCGCAGGAAAAATATACCAAAAGAATGAAAACGTTTCCATGGGACCGTACAATTAGTAGCTGACATGTTCATGGAAGTTTGTGAAGAAAGTGCACTAAAACCATTCAGGTCATCAATAAAATGTTGATGGAGATATGTAGAAGACAGGTTAGTATAAGGAAAAAGGACGATGTTGAGATATTCTTCTCTCTCGTTAACAGTCATGTTGAATCAATAAAATTCACTATTGAAATAGAGAATGAAATTGGGAAACTGCCTGTGTTAGACTTCAAAATACAAAAAGTAAGAGATGGTAGCATACAGAAAAGCTACACAATCTGAAGGATTCCTTGATCATCACTCAGCTCTCCCAATTACGCAGAGTAAATTGAAGGTTATTACAAGGTCTTGCAGATAGAATTCGTAGACTTACCGTAACGCCAGAGGACCACCGTTAAGAAATAAACGCCTTATTCAAAATGTTGCTAGACAACAATTACCTAAATGAATTTATTATACATGGTATAAGAAGAAAAGAATGAAGATAAAACCGGAGAATGACAAGTAGGAAGATGCTGAAAACCGATCACAGTAACATAGTAAAATGATGCATCAGAGGCACGTTGAGGAAAAATTAACAACATTGAGATTCACAAAACGTTTAAACTGACGAATTTAATTTAAATAAGATAAATCAACTAAAAAATTCCATACATATGATTGATAAAAGCAATGTGATTTACAAAATGCCGTGTTTCCGACTAAATATGTGGGCGAAACATCCAGATCATTCAAAACAAGAGTAAATGAACATGAACGCCTAACTTAAGGTCATATAACAGGAACACAAGCTTACAACGATACAAAGATTCATCTACAGCTGCGCACGCATGTGAAGAAAACCACAATATCTATTAGAAAAATGTTTGTATTATGAAAGAGAAAATGAACAAATTGAATGAAAGACTTATAACAGAATTTAAATTTAATAAGGCCATATGTAGCAAGTGTGACTCAACACAACTATCAACAACTTGGAATGTAATTCTGAATACAAAAAATGAAGGAACAAAAATGCACTATATGTGTGAGTGCGATTCTTAAGTGTGTGAATGAAAAACAAAAAATATTCTAACAGCTGGTTTGAAAATGGGCTTTAATTTTGCTCGAAATGTTATCAAAAATAAAAGCCTATCATTCTGTGTAAACCACTGAAATATGATTATACTTTTATTTGATCCATTCCACAATGCCAAATCGTTTTACTGACATTTAGTTTAGTCGGATCACCTTCATTGCCACCACATTTAACTGAGAGGAAGCTATGAGTTCTTTACCATTCGACCTTTTCTGCATCTCTCACAATGTTGCAACTCACTGGTTCTCATGCAACGTTCTCCAGGAAACTTGGCAAGTGATGTCATTTAAAGGCTCACTCAGTGTGCATCCAGAGATTTCATGCACATCGGCTGGTAGCGAATTCCAGACTGGTGATATCAATATGACATAACAGAAGAGCCACACATGATATCGTTTTGTGTAATAATGAAACACACCTTATTCCTAATATTTATAGTTACCCTTAGTTGTTTCCAATTGGTTTCACAGGTCCTACTCATATCCATCGCATACTGTTGTGTTTTTGGTCGATTCTACGCACTCTTTATATTTATAATCTTGAATGTGTCTCTAGCAATAGCTGCCGCAGTCATGATAATCGCTGTCAATCTGAAACGTTTGGATTTGCCAGCGTTTCTGGCGGTCGTATTCCTCGCAGTGCTCATTGCATTCATAGGACTCCTATCCATCCTTCTCTACGCTCTGCATGTTCCATTCTCTGTGAGTTGTTATTGTCTTCATAATCTTTTGAATGAGCACTTTATTTATGTCAGATGAAGAGAAATGTATTGAAACGTTGTGGTCACACTAATGTCAAGAGAATGTATTGACCAAATCCATAACGAAACAGTTGGGCTTCATGAAGCCGTTGAATTTTGTCATTTGACAATCACTTTGTGTTTTGTGGTGATAAGCACCCATCCTATCTACGGAAAATAAATGAGTGTGCGCAATACAGTTTGGGAATTCAACATGTGACCTGTCTTTCGCAAATTTCTATAAGACACAGAGCACTGACCAAGTTACTCAATGATAAATGTGCGCTACTTATAAAGTAATCCCCTAAAATTAGTTGGCCATTTAGCCCTATGTAAGAAGTCAGTTGGTAGCAGCCGATCAACTAACATATTTGAACTGGTTGAACGTAAGACGGTGCCAATTTTTTAGGATGATTTGAGCACTTAGTTAGACCGAATCAATGATTTTCTATGTTGTTTTATTATGATTCAGTCGAACCGGACGCTTTAGAAACAGAATAATCTAGTTTTGATTTTCCGAGTTCCCTGAAATTTTTGTAAGTAATTTTCAAACATCAGTAGGCAGGAATAGAAGGGCTTCAAAATTAGCCATATACTAATATAACTCAGAACACCAGCGAGTACCAAGAATTAGTAGAATGCCGATTTCATTTTATTTGGTAACCTTCCAGATTCGACTCATACATGCGAAGCTGTAGACATTCCTAAACTAAGACAAACATCACGCCAGAATTCCCTGCATTTCAGTGATTCTCCAACTGAGGTAAGATCATGATCCTTATTAAAATCAGCCAAACCACTGAAAAGCAAAATCAGTTTTCATGTACCATATATCTTCAACTGTGTCAAAACTTTATGTTTTATTCTTCACATACTTCTAGGAAGCCGTTAGCGAACTGTGTCTATGCATCGGTTCAATGCTCGTGAGTTCACTGGATGTTTTTTATCTACGATTCATTTTATTAGATGATTTCTCATCTGCAAAAATCAAAAGAAGTGACATGGAGTCATAATTTTTCAACATTTTGATAATCAACCCGTACAATTTGATATAAATTAGGAAATAAGTGAGTAGTTAGACAACAAGTGACCAGGTATGCCATGTATTTCATCAAAGTGTTCATGGAATTTAGAAACCATAGAAAACGATTGTAGTTTCAATATAATTCTTAGCCAGCAAAAGTATCACTGAAAGAAGTGGGAATTGTAATGAAGCAACATTGAAGATGATTACATTGAACTAGATAAATAAAGTTGACAAGTAGGATAATATCGGAATTTTCTCAGAATGGAAATAATAGTCACTGCTGAAATAATGAACGGTGGATATGGAAATAGAACAAACAGAATGAAAATAAGATGAACCAAAATAAGATTATAATAGTTAACCATAGAATTATTCGAACCATGAAAAAAACGTGATGATCACGAGTGTGAGATAGTGATAATAATTAAAACGACTGTCATGATGTTATGATTACATTCGAGATGTAAGCTAGGGTCCTAGAAATTTTCATTTCATGAACAAAACTCCCTTGTTGCAACTTACTGCTTCTGTTTCTGTGATTCGTTGAATGCAGGTATTTCCTTTTGAGCTTTTCAGACAGAATGTAATTGCTTTTCCATATTAGTCTCGTCTCATCAAACAAGTTTAGTGACTTTAGAAGCATATGTAACAATAACCAACAATGATTATGGATACGACATACGGAACGACCTATACACTTCATCTCTAAGAAGAATTCAGATTAGAAGATAACCTTGAAGTTTAACATGTGCTTAGGTTTCTATTTCTAAGTGCTAATGAAGTTTAAGTGTCAGGAGCTTACTAATCTCAACACTGGTGCATAGAATATTCCAGTAAAATGAACACGCATCTTGTATTTTGCAATGCTTCTAGCTAGAGCTTTGAAGTTTCGGTAGCTGTGGTTTTCGGTTTTATGGGATTGCTTTGCTAGCCCCATACTCAGCCTTCCTTCTTTACCAGTCCTAATACTGGCTTAGCCATATGTGGGAATGCATCGGCTGAGGATTGAACTCTGCACCACATGAGTGGTCGGCGATCATACCAATTCTGTGCCACCGAGGCATGCATCTATTATTTATAGTGCTAAGAAGGGATCACTTTGTAAAAGTAACCAGATTCATATTATTTCTTTGGTATAATCTTGATCATAATGTCCAATTAAGTCATTTGATTCTTGTTTGGAAACGCTCAGTTTTCCATTTAGAAAACTAGACGCATCATCAAGGTAGCCTCTTTATTGTGATATATGAAAAACTGCTTAATGAGACTTGTTTACGCAATTAATATAAAGAATATTTACCATTGAAACAATTCAACTTTTCGGCGTAATTTCTGTAAATCAGCTGAGATGAAAAGATCAGAATCGTGATTTGTATATCAAGTGAGTTTTTTTTTATATCAGTCCGTTAGACATGGCTTTACAATGAAGCTTTGCAATTTTTAACTATTTACAGGGTTTATTCCTTCTTGGAAACACAGTACGCGACTGTGTAGGTAGTAAACATTCATTCTGTTTTGCAATGTGTCAGGCGTTCTTTTTCTGGATTTTCATTACTCTCTTATTCTCAGGAATTTACATGTTGATATTACCTTCAAAAAAGAAGGAGGGTAACAGGGATTAAGAAGATTTTGAGGTAAAAACTTTTAAATGGCTTTGAAGTGTTTCATTGATGTTTTTTATGTATCGCAAATATAACATGCGCGTTCCTTTGTGTTTTGAAATCAGTAATTAGGAAAGATTCTATCTGCATCAGTTGTCATAGTGTAGCGGTCAACTTGCACAGAATAATAATCAAGTGAAAACAAAGATTATTGCTGGTGTTATTGCGAATGATGTCTTAGGAAGAAGTTGGTTATGCTCAATCCATTTGCCATGAAAGAGAAATTTGCCTTCAGTTTAGTTGCTACTGGAGGATGAATTTGCACTGTTGCAGGATTTTCTTACAGCTGTAAAGAAGCTGTAGCAGTAATATGTCTGTCCCGGAGAAGAATCGATCAAAAGAATTCTGACTTTAAAAGCCATACATTTCGTCTTAAAGTAGAATGGTTCACATCCAGTGTCATGACAACTTGACATCCTTGATTTATTTCTTTTGTTGTGAAACGAATCGGTAACAATTAAAACAAAAAACGCAGTTAAATGTAAGAGGTTAATTGGTGGGTGGTGACTAGCAGTGGAATCCAGTATGCACATTTCGTCCTATTTGGGACTCATCAACTGGATGCACCTACATTTCCCAGTAAGTGATTATGTTCTCCCGAGGTTCAAACTCATTGCCAACTGAGACCAAGCACATCGGTTCAATCAATCGACAAAAAATCTAAAATCTAATTCAAAGTTCAATGAAATATAAAAATTCATCACCAATAATTGTGTACAACAGTATGCCAGTGCTACTGGTAGCTGAACTTACCTCAGATCGATAAACATGAACTAGCTGTATGAGATAAACTCTGCTTTGAATTTTGTCTCATATCATGGATAAGTGTTAGCATAATTTCAGCTCAGTTGCTGTAAGTTTATTTAACGGAAACCAGAAGAAATTAAGATGATTCTTTCAGGCTAATTACCCAAAATAATATTCGCTCACTGGACATATGAATAAGGACTGAAAATAAAGGTATTCAGAAACCATGGTGATCATTTAAGCGAAAAATGAGAGAACGAATCAACTGCTTAGCTAGGTACTGAAGTACAGCTAGAAATTATCCTATGAAAACGCAACCACATAAGCGATGAAGACGTTGATAGATAGTGTCTCTGTTATGCGCTTCAACAAGACTTTGAAGAGTGAAAAGAAACCAGAATATCAGTGCAGCTTCAACAAACGTCTCACTTCTTAATGAAGCTTGATGATAAAATATGTCCAATAAAGTAGCGGGATCAAGTTCACCAAGCAATTTTCGTGTTTAAGTCCGATTCACAAATGGAAAGAAACAGAATCACTTAAGATATTATAGTCTGTGTAGTTTCATTCGCAAATTGCATAGCTTGTTGTGTAAAGTGAGTTGGTGGCACAGTGGTAAGGACTCTCGCCAACTATGCACATGGTCCGGGGTTCGATCTCCTGCCGATACACATCCCATATCGGTAGTCGGTGTGGAGTCAAACTGTTATCAAAATATAAATAAAAAAATAAATATTCACTAATCGTACTTGAAAGAATATATATAGTTGAAAGTTACTTCTGCTTATTTACAGCCTGATGGTCACATGAAAATGGAAACAAGCATTATGCTTCGAGTGAAATTTTGAATTTTGGAAATCCATTCAGAAACCCTTAATGTCGTACAAAAATACAACATCGCATGAATACATTGACACACGTGAACTTCAAACTCGATTACATTTCACTACTCTATTCCATTTCATCTGATGTCATTGATATCACGTATGTGTTTATTATTCATATAAATAAAGACTCTTTATTCTCTCTCTAAATGATGTTATACATTTAATAAAATGAAAGAGACCGTGTTTGATTATATACAAAGTGTTGAAATGTGACAGTTTAAGCCGCGTGTATTTATGAGGGTCTATTCGACTTGTGTTGTAGTTTCCGAAATATTATTTTTCGTGCGATGAACCCTTCAGTCACTTAATGAATAAACCTTGAGTAGATGGAAATCAATTTGTTACTAGTCAAACGTGGTTCTTAAGAGATTTGAGTGAAGTTTACACACAGAAAATTGGAATGCTTCTGTTCCATCCTCCCATTCGATGAGTTTCATCAGACCAGTAGATTTGCTCGCTAAATCTCTCTAACTTGACAAAGATTTATCCATATGCAAACAATGTGATTTGAATGTATTCATTTATTAAGCAAGTCAGTAGATTTGAAGAATCAAACCATCCATACAGAAGTGTGAGTTGACTATCAGTATTGTGATCGCCATGTGTCTGCCCCTTATAACGTGGCATATTGAACAATTGAATATTACTTTGGGTTTCGGGTGCATTTCAACGGTTCTTCACAGCGAAGTTTCATTCTCAATTGTCATTCAGATGAAACAAATTGACAACTCGATGCTTAAAATGACAAAAATAAGAAAAAGTTCTGTTTAGATTGTACGGGTGAGTCAGACAGTATTTCAACGACATGAGGAGCGCGACACATGACACTGTAGGGTTCTCCTTAAATTAGAAAGATACCAGTAGCGCACACAAGTGTGTTCACATGGTTAGCTAAGACATACAATGATTGTGCATGTAGCTAGAAATGCCACGAGGCAGGGTCGACATATTTGCTACCGTTTAGAGTGCATCTAGCTTCAGCACCACATCTTGATTCCACGTGGTAACCCACCATTATTTTCAAGCAGCCTCAAGATTACCCACGTGCTCCATTTCCTACATGGATTATCGACGCCATGTAGCATTAAGTATCAAACAGGTTGGCAGTTATTTAGGCTCCACCGTAGTAACTAGCAGATGATGTATCTGGATGTGAGTTCATGTCACCTTTGGTGGTCTGACGAATACAGTGTTTAATTATCAACAGATAAGTCAGGTTCTATCAAGAATTGACTTCATTTTGAGAACCATTCAGGACCAAGGAGTACTGAACAATTGCTTCCTAATTGATACGTACTCTCCATACGTGATCAAATTTGGAAAACAAATCGAGCTGTCAGGAAATGGTTTTTCAGTTATATCCTTATCAACCCTTCAATTCAAATCAATAAATAGTTCCCTATGCAATTTGTAATTTATTCATTAAAGTAGTCATAATAACAATTAGTCAAGTGACCAAAATAAAGGCAAGAGGATTTAAAAAAAGAATCATTAAATGAAATGCCACCAGTGTTTGTCAAAAGCGAAACAGGCGGTTTGGAAAATCTATGGTGTATATGCTGGGGAGTAATTGATTTTTCAAAATATTTACTGATTCAAGCACAAATTTTTGTTCATTATAATTTCAAAGTACTCACACAACTTTCTTGCCTCGTTTATATACATGAGTAAAAATTGATTAGACATATGAATACAATTAATATAAGACATGTGTGAAACAGAAAGGAAGATCAAGTACATTCGGAAACACTGAAAGTGTTATCATCAAACATCATTTGATGAGAATTAGGACGAGTACGGTTAGCCAGTTTACCATAGGAGATAAAGCACATTAGGAAGTAATATAAATGTTATCATTAAAAAATATAGTACGATGGGAAATATTACGTGTTGTTAGTTAATAAGATGGGAAATGAGATGGATTTTTAGTAGAATAAATATCTCATTACAATGCTATTTTCCATAGTAGACTGGCTAACAGTACTCGTCCAAATTCTCATCAAATTACATTTGATGATAACACTTTCAGTGTTTCCGTATGTACTTGATCTTTCTTTCTGTTTCACACATGTTTTTTATTTATTGTATTCATATGTCTAATCAAATTTTACTCATATATAAACAAAGCAAGAAAGTTGTGTGAGTACTTTGAAATGATTATGACCAAAAAAATGTGCTGCTAATTAACATGAATCTTGAAATACGAAATTCGCTGGCCGCCTGATTTTACGTTATTAAAATAACCTTGTGAGCTGTTGTCCAAGTCCAGGTAGCTCAGTAAAAATTGTATGGTTCATAAGCGTGATAATGATTACAGCTCTGCAAATGAGGATGAGAATGTCACCCAACAGCATTTATAACCCCTTCTCTGTGCTCGAAACGCAGAACAACGCAATGTTGGCGTAGCTAAATGAATAACTGACAGTATGCAGAGGCAAAAAATTTTATGTAAGCACAATGATTTTTCTTCACTGTGAATACTGAGTGAGTTTTTCATCGAAATGTCTTAGTGAACAAGAATAAATTATGAAACAGCTTTCGTATGGTCGAAAGGGGAAATAGTTAGCCTACTAAAACTGAATCTCCAGTGTTGTATGTGAAATCTTTTTCGTAAAGTATGCCTAACTCTGAGAAACATATGACAGTGAATATGAAGCTTGTGTGATTTTTTTTAAAATTTATTGTTTTTGTTATTACAGCTTGATTCCACACGGTATTTTAGTAAAATTATGGAGTCCTTAGCATGTGATATCGGTAGCTCAAATAGCGTCGGCCGACCATAGATATAAGGTGTGCGTTGGCCGAAAATTGAATCCCCAAAAATGTGCATGGTTGATGAGCATCCTAACCACTGTACCACCGACGCCTCATTTCCCATATCAGAGAAAAATCTCACTTTTCAACTTCATCTCAATTTATTTGTGCCACTGTCTAAATTAGATAGGTTTTGTTTGGAAATTTTACGGCCACTCAGTGTACCTACGAATTCACATACACATGGAAAACGCGAAATGGGGCATTTTTACTCATAACTTATACTAACTATTGGTTAGCTGGTTGGTGAACAGCATAGTAAAGTGGCATTTAAAGCCCTTTAAAAAGCTTTTCTCAGATGTTGTGATATCATTCCAGTGATAGGATATCTCGTGAACTGCAGTCTTTTAAACACTATGAACGGAATATTTCATATTGGGTCATAGGAAAAAGACGAAAGTTTACTTTTACGTGATACAATTTCAAAAGCGGTGCAACCGTAATTATATTTAACAGTGAAATAATAAGACCAATCAGATACTGGTAATATTTGTCCTCGTAAAACGTTTCACG